TTAACCCCAGAATCATAAACATTGTTAACTTTTCCTATCAACATGCATAACAATATGCATGGAGTATTGCCAAATATGGAAGCTCACCTGAGCCCTGATGTCAAGAACTTTTATTGTGGCTCCTGGTTGCCGGCTGACTTTTAGTGTCCAACCTCCCAGGAGGTAGAACTGATACCGTAGTCTCTGGTCTCTTTAGAGTAGAATTGATGCCACATGGCTCAAAGCATCATAAATTCCACTGTTAGACTCTCTGGTGGCTGTGGTCTCCAGGTAACAAAGACTCTGTAGAGATCACCTCCCTGGAGATGAATACAAAAGCCAGAGCTCTCTTTGGTTAAGGTTAAGTTCTTTACTATATATATCACAAGAACATACTCTATATGAGTTTGTTTTAAATTTAAAATTTGCTTCATGACCTAGAATATGGTCTATTTGAGAAATGTTCAATGTGTACCTGAAAACATTGTGTATTCACTGTTGTTGGGTGGCATGCTCCATAAATGCTGGTAACATCCTATTGGTTGATGGTCCCATTCAGTTCTTCAATATCCTTGCTGATTGTCAGTCAAGTAGTTCCATCAATTGCTGGGAGTAAGGTATTTGAGTCCCCAGATATAATTTTGATTTGTATATTTCTCCTTTAAGCTTATAATCAGGTTTTGCTTCCTGTATTTTGAAGTTCTGTTGGTGGTACTAATTTTCTTTACTCTGAAGTCTGATTTGATATTATTATAGCCATTTCTATTTTCTTTTATTACATTTACTATTTATATATTTTTGCTTTCAACATACCTATATCATTATGTTTGACATGACATTTTTATAGTCACCATGTAATTGGGTCATGTTATTTATTTATTGTGCCAATCTCTGCCTCTCACCTGGTGGTTTAGACCATTTACATTTAAAGTAATTATTGATATGTTAGGGCCGTGGTTGGCAAACTGCGGCTCGCGAGCCACATGCGGTTCTTTGGCCCCTTGAGTGTGGCTCTTCCTAAGCCTTAGGAGTACCCTAATTAAGTTAATAACAGTGTACCTGCCTATATAGTTTAAGTTTAAAAAATTTGGCTCTCAAAAGAAATTTCAATCGTTGTACTGTTGATATTTGGTTCTGTTGACTAATGAGTTTGCAGACCACTGTGTTAGGGTCATTTTATTTGTTCTTTGCAGCTTCCCTCTGTTTCTTTTTCTCCTTTCTTTTTCCTTGCCTACTTGTAAGTTGATCAAACAATTTTAGAGTTCCATTTTGATTTATTTATAACTAGTGGCCCAGTGCACAAAATTCATGCACATTAAAAGGGGATTAATTAGAGGAAATATTTTAATATTGCTATTTGCCCTTTCTCTGTAATAGAAGTGTCAGAGATAAAAGAAAATTAATAAAATGTATATGAAAATCTTCCACCTGTCAGAGTCTGGGGCACACTACGGGACCCAGAGTCAAGTCCCTGCACACCTGCAGCAACTCAAAATCACGTGAGACCCAGACACAGCCAGCCCCACCCCCATTGGGTGAGATCCAGACCTGGCTGGCCCCACCCTAGTCAAGCCCCACCAGGCAGGGGGTGCAGCCTCAGGTCCCCTGGCCCGGTGCCAGGCAGGGGGCACAGCTTCAGGGCCCCCGTCAAGCCCTGCAGGGTAGGGGGTGCAGCCTAAAGTGCCCCGGCCTGGCTCTGGGGCAGGGGCCGCACCCTGAGATCCCCCAGCCTGGGCTGGGGGGCACACCTTGAGGTCCCCCTCAAGCCCTGCCAGGTCGGGGGCATGGCCTCAGGTCCCCCGGCCTGAGCTGGGGCAGGAGGTGTGCCTTGAGGTCCTCCGTCAAGCCCCATGGGTGGGGGGGCACAGCCTGAGGTCTGTCATCAAGCCATGTATGGCAGGGGGCACAACTTCAGGTCCCCCAGCCTGGCACCGGGGTAGGGGGCATGGCCTGAGGTACCCTGTCAAACCCCATCAGGCGAGGGGCACAGCCTCAGGTCCCTGCTGATTGCTCATTAAGGCTCATTATGGGAACTCAGCCTCCACTGTGGGTGCAGCCATCTTGTATTATGGAATCCCTGCCTCTGCTGTGGGCGCAGCCATATTGACCATTACAGTGTGATGGTCAATTTGCACATTCCCTCCTTATAAGATAAGTTGCTTTTTAAAAAAATATATTTTACTGATTTTTTACAGAGATGAAGGGAGAGGGATAGAGAGTTAGAAACATCGATGAGAGAGAAGCATCAACCAGCTGCCTTCTGCACAGTCCCCACTGGGGATGTGGCTGTAACCAAGGTATATGCCCTTGACCAGAATCAAACCTGGGACCCTTGAGTCCGCAGGCCAACACTCTATCCACTGAGCCAAACTGGTTAGGGCTGGGGCTGGGTCTCGTGCGATTTTGAGGTGTGGCAGGTGTGCGGGGACTTGACTCTGGGTCCCGTAGCGTGCCCCAGATATGTAAATAGTAAACATATCAAATTTAATTCAAAACATGTCACCATTTTGTAGGTCAGGAATTTGAGAAAGCCTTGGCTGAGCAGTTATTGATTGGGGTCTGTCATGTGGTTCTGGGTGGGTGCCAGTGGGCTCCAGTCATCTGAAGAGTTGGGTGATCACTTGGAACTTAGCTGGGGCTAATGACCAGGGTGACTACATGAAGACTCTAGCATTATGCTCTCAGTATGGGTGGACTTCTTTGATGGAAACTCCATTTCTCAGAGTTAAGAGTTAAAAGCCTCATCTGGTCTCCATTTAAATTTCCTCTTTAGTATGAATTGTTGTATAAGGAGTAAGATATGGCTAAAGTCATTCTTACAATAATTTCATTTGAAAAGTTTTCATCTAATGTAACTTTATGGTGTTGTGTAAGACTTGAGCTATGGCTAACTTTCATATTCATCATTTTTATATGACCAGTAAGATATAGGCCATAGATAAAGATTATGCCCTACACCCTTCATTTTATTCATAGGTTTTTAACCAGTTAGAATTCTCTAACGTTGAGCAAAGAAGATGCTAAGTGCCTCCCTTTCTCTAGTATAACTTTCTGATGTCATATAAGGCATTATTGTGGCTAAAGGTAATCTCACATTTATTACATTTGTCTGCTATTATATTAAGATTTAGACTACAGTTAAAGTCTTTGTACATGCATTATATTCAGATTCCCAGTTTTCACAACATTCATAGTGTCCCTCTACTATGAATTCTCTGATTTGAACCATTACCATACTGATAACATTCAGTTTTTTCTCTTCAGAACAAATTATCTCATACTGTGAAAGTGCCGAGTTGTTTGGTAGTATCTACCAAAGCCACCAAATGTAGATATGCCTCAGGATCCAGAAATTCCACTCCTAAGTATATACACGAGGGAAATAAATACATGTACATCTAATGACTAATATATTCACAAAAGCATTACTTATTATGACCCTAAGCTGTAAACAAAGAAAAAGCCCACCAATAGATTGGATGTGTTGCGATATACTATCTAATAAAAGAGAAACATGGTAATTAGCCATACCTCCACTACCCTTCCCATTGGCTAATCAGGGCGATATGCAAATTAACTGCCAGCCAAGATGGCAGCCAGCAGCCAGGCAGCTTGAAGCGAACAGGAGGCTTGCTTGCTTCAGTGATGGAGGACTCCAATGTTCCCTGCCTGCCGCTGCCGGCTTATGAGCTTGCAGTTTGAAACATTGTTACAAATATAGAAGCTAAACAAAACCCCAGAAACCTGCTTTCAGCCAGCCGAGGTCTCAGAGCTGGAGTTGAAACAGTGTTTCAATTATAGAACTCAAATAAACCAGATACCTGCTTTCAGCAGCCAAGGCCTCAGAGCTGGAACCAAGCCTCAGAGCTAAAGCTGGCCCAGAATAAAAAACAAAAAGAAAAAAAGGAGCAGTTGGGAGCTTTAGTCACCCGCCAGCCTGACAACAGCCCTCAGCCCCTCACCCAGGCTGACCAGGCACCCAAGTGGGACCCCAACCCTGATCCAGGACACCCTTCAGAGCAAACCAGCCGGCCCCCACCCGTGCACCACGCCTCTATCCTATATAGTAAAAGGGTAATATGCCTCCCAGCACCATGATCAGTGGAGCTGCGAGGCCTCCCGGCATCGGGATCAGCGTGACAGGGGGCAGCGCCCAAACCCCCTGATCGCCCTGCGGCTCTGTGTGTGACAGGGTGCAGCGCCCCAACCCCCTGATTGGCCCTGCTCTGTGTGTGACAGGGTGCGGCGCCCCAACCCCCCCACCCCCACGGGCCCTGCTCTGTGTGTGATGGGGTAGAGCCATAACCTTTCCATCGGCCCTGCCCTGAGTGTGACAGTGGCGGCGCCCCAACCCCCTGATCGGCCCTGCTCTGTGGGTGATAGTTGGCAGCGCCCCCCCCCCGCCCCCACGGGCCATGCTCTGTGTGTGACGGGGTAGAGCCATAACCTCCCCATCGGCCCTGCCCTGAGTGTGACAGGGTGCAGTGCTCCAACCCCCTGATCCACCCTGCTCTGTGTGTGACAGAGGGCGGTGCCCCAACTCCCCTATCAGCCCTACTCTGTGAGTGACAGGGGGTGGTGCCACAACCTCCCCATCGACCCTGCCTTGAGTGTGACAGGGGGCGGCGCCCCAACTCCCCAATTGGCCCTGCTCTGAGCCCGACCAGGGGCTGCACCTAGGGATTGGGCCTGCCCTCTGCCACCCGGGAGCAGGCCTAAGCCAGCAGGTCGTTATCTCCCAAGGGGTCCCAGACTGTGAGAGGGCACAGGCTGGGCTGAGGTACCCCCCCTTCCCCCCCGAGTGCACAAATTTTTGTGCACTGGGCCTCTAGTACTTATATAATGAATAATGAAATTCTATACAGAATAAAAATACACAAATTTCTGCCACATGCACTAATGATGAGTTTTTTTTGTTTTGGGTTTTTTTAAAATATATTTTATTGTTTTATAACAGAGAGGAAGGGAGAGGGATAGAGAGTCAGAAACATTGATGAGAGAGAAACATCAATCAGCTGCCTCCTGCACACCCCCCACTAGGGATGTGCCCACAACCAAGGTACATGCCCTTGACTGGAATCGAACCTGGGATCCTTCAGTCCTCAGGTTGACGCTCCATCCACTGAGCCAAACCAGTTAGGGCGCTAATGATGAGTTTTAGAAACACAATAATGAATGAAAGCCAAATATGAAAAAATACATGATATATAATCCAATTTATATAAAAGTTAACAATAAGTAAAAACTATAATGTTAGAAGTTAGAACTTTGGTTAACTCTGAGGAGGTAACAGTTTTTATTCCATATTTTCAATGATAAATACAATTCACACCTCCTTTCTTTTTAAGTCTTTTGTTCACAGTGTGGTTCACATACCAACTGTATATTACTGGTTCACAATAAGGTAGGTATTGAAATTAAAAATAAGTAATTTTAAATATGTGTAGCAACTTGACAGAGAAATTTTATATCTAATGAATGTAACAATAGAAAACTGGGAATTGTATTTTCAATGACTTGTCATTTAATTTGTCTAGTAATTATTTTGTGTGTATGTTTTATAGGCTAGCAAACAGTAAGTAAATATGTGATATAGTACCTTAAACTGTTGACTATTATTACACTTGCAAGCAACATCATATACTGGGTTTACTATGACTTTAAAAGTTTTTTACTAAAAAAAGAGTCACATCCTTTACTATATTCCAATGATTTCTACCTTGTGAGTTTTCTGATGGACAATGAGATTTGACTTATAACTGAAGAACTTACCACATTCTTTACATTCATACAGTTTCTCTCCTATGTGAGTTTTCTGATGGCGAATGAGGTTTGACTTCCTACTAAAGGCTTTGCCACACTGAGGACATTGATTGGATTTCTCTCCTGTATGTATTCTCTGATGAACAGTGAGGATTGCCTTCTGGCGAAAGGACTTCCCACATTCATTACAACTATAGGGTTTCTCCCCTGTATGAATTCTTTGATGGAGAGTGAGGGTTGTCTTTTGGCAGAAGGACTTTCCACATTCATTACAAATATAGGGTTTCTCTCCTGTGTGAGTTCTTTGGTGTACAGTGAGGGTTGTCTTCTGGATAAATGCCTTCCCACATTCATTACATTGATATGGTTTCTCTCCTGTGTGAGTTCTCTGATGATCAATGAGGTATGACTTCTTTCTAAAAGCACTTCCACACTGAGTACAATCATAGGCTTTCTCCCCTGTATGTATTTTGTGATGCCTGGTGAGGGTTGCCTTCTGGCGGAAGGATTTCCCACAATCCATACAAATGTAGGGTTTCCCCTCTACATGTGTTTTCTCATGAAGAGTGAGGGCTGTCTTTTGACGGAAGGCTTTTCCACATTGACTGCAAACATAAGGTTTCTCACCTGTGTGAATTCGCTGATGCTCAATGAGATATGACTTCCTTCTAAAGCTATTCCCACAATAAGAACAATGAAAGGGTTTCTCTTCTGTTTCAGATCTCTGATGTATAATAAAAATGGACTTCCTGCAGAGGAAATTCCCATATTTGCTATATGCATGGGACTTCTTCTCCATAAGATTTTGTGGATGGACACTGGAATTTGACTTTTCAATGAAAGGCATTCCATCTTTATTGTATTCAAAGAGTCCTTCTCCTCTATGAGTTTTAGTATGTGTAAATAACATTTCTTTCATAAGGAAGGAATTTTCACATTCATTATGTTCAAATGATTGCTCTGGAGTTTGAACCTTCTGATGTTTAATAAGCTCTTGTTTATTACTCAGACTGCTTTCTGTTTGTTTACAGAGATTTTCTGTAGTATGAGTTTTCTCATGCTTTGTATTGAGAAGTGATTTCTCCCATCCATAACCCTCACCAAACTTCTCTCTTACAGGGCTTATATTTCTAATGACTAATTCTGAAATATTTTTCAAAACCTTTCCATCAGGTTTATATTCATGTAGTGTTGTTTTTGAAATAATACAGTTCTTGCCTACAGTAAGTGTCTTCCCCAAAATATTATTTTTTTCCTTAATTAGTCTTTCATGGTTGATGAATACAACTGATCTAAAATGCCTATCTTGGTATTGTTTAAACTTCATTAAGACATCTTCAGCTTTCCCATCTTCTTCTAGAAAAGAATACAATAAACAGTGTAAGTCTTGATATAAATGTTATGAATTAGACATATATACAAACAATCTATTGTACAACTGTCTGTCTCACTATTGTGATCTACAGAAAGGCCAAAATAAACTACCTCTTGGTAGACAAAATGCATGGAACTTAAACACAAATCCTGCTATACTGTTAAAATGAAGAATAATTGGCATAAGCAAAGAACACTCATATCTTTGACATATTGTAAATATAAGTTACATCAAGCAGGTCTAATTAATACAAGGGCAAGTAAGCAAAAGATGGTGAAAGTGGCATTATTCTTGGAATGGGGAGGTTTAGAGATGATGGAGTGAGCCTATCAAGAGTACTAACCAGTAAACAAGCAAAACTGTTCAGGTGGAGATGAAAGCATATATACTTATTTCCTCATGCCTAAAAAGGTGTTATAAAGGTGTCATTTGCTATCTATAGCAAATGAACTTTATCAAGCACTCATTTTATTATTTTGAAAGAAACACTAATCTATATCTAGGCCCTAGCTCTCCATATAACTGATTTATTTTCTCTTGAAAGGGAAGAATTAGAAAAACATTTCATTAGGAATTATAAAATAAACCAGAGGACAAAGCATACTTTCAAATGAACATAATCACTGATTGCTGCTATATCTATTTATTTTTCCAGGGGGATGGTCAATAACTAAATTCTACTGATCATCAATTCTAATTGTCTCTCCTTTCAATTTGCTGAAGTACTTTTTCAGTGTTAGAGAAAGATGGGTTCAAGTTTTCCTCCCAATGCAGTAACATGCCTTAAACTCTGCTATTCCCTATTGGGACTGTGAAGGACTAGATTCTTCAGTATGTGTGTATAGCACTCATTGACCTTACCTATTATCCTATATAATAAAGAGCTAATATGCTAATTAGACAGACGGCAGAATGACCTTCCACAATGACCTTCTGGAACAACCAGTGGTTGGGGGGCAGGGTCGCAGGGCCATGAGGCATCAGGGGCTGCGAGGGCCTACTTTTGCACGAATTTTGTGCATCAGGCTTCTAGTTTTTCTTATAAATTCTTGGCAAATTTTACTACTGGTATCTTACTACAACCCACATCTGGTGGAGCAGTTTTAAAGATGGGTTTATCTTACCCATAATTTGTACCTTATTTACAATAGCCCAAAACTGGAAACAGCCCAATTATCTATGAAAAGGTAAATAGGCAATATTGTGTCATGTAATTATACAAGGTAATACTACTCAGCAATAAAAAAAAGGGGGAGAAAACCTACTGATGACAAAGGGATGAAGCTAAAACATTTTTCAGAGTGAAAGCTTTATGCAAAAGAGTAAATATTGCACAATTCCACTATGTGTAGTCCTAGAACATGTAAAACTAATCTGTATTGTAATAGGAGTTACATTGCCATCCTGAGAATCTTAATCACCTTCAAGAACATGCTACTACTCAATTTATCCAAGCCTTCACATATTCTTTCTATCCTTCAATGTCTAATTTGTCTGAAATTAGAATATAATTATAGTCTGGACTACCCATTTCAAGAAATATTCCAACAGTTTCAATGAGGGAACAAGGAGACATATGAAACACTTTCAATAATAAAGAATTTATATTAAAAAAGACTACTAGTATATTTTGAGGATTAAAAATGGTGGAAGAGTAGGAGGATGCTGCACAGACATGCTCCCAGGAATAAGCTGGAATTACAACTGAAATATGGAAAGGCTTCCTGAAAAATCAATAGAAAACTCACAGGATAGAAACTTGATACCCAAGGACTGAAGGTGGAGACTGCATAGAGACTGGTAGGAGGGACGGAGGCGCCAAAGGGCTGGCCAGGCACCGACAGAGGGCAACTGAAGTCCTGGAGAGACATATCAGCTGTGGTGGGGTGCCACGGAGAACTCTGGGATCTAATCCCCAATCTTGGCTCCCCAGCAGAGAGCACCAAACTGAGGAGGGTACCCACATAACATCTAGCTGTGAAAAGCAGTGGGGTGCTGTCTGCCAGGGAGTGGCAGCTGAAAGTTCAAGCACCCTCTTAAAGGGCCAATGCATAAAAATTCCCTGTGGAGCCACCCACCTTATGCTCTGGCAGAGGGAGGGTGAAGTGGACTGGGGCTGTGAGAGCAGAACCCAGGACTGGGGATTCGTGGGGATAAAGCTCAAAAGGCATGCACCCCAAGTTTCCTGGGCTGAGTCATTCCCTCACACAGTGGGGGACATATTTCCCAGATAGACATTTGCCTTGCCTGGGGAGAAGACAGTCAACACAACCTATTGAAAAACATCTTGCCCTGAGGCCACTTAAGAGATTAAAAGTAACAACTAGCCTCCAGGAAGAAGCAACTGCCCCACCCTGTTGAAAAAACTCTCACCACACCTGAGGACAATTGCCTGGGGGCAATTCAAGTCAGAATCCTGTTAGACTGTAGACAGAGGTAGTCTCTGGAGGCTTTGAGTCTTTGCCTGGTTCAATTTGTAAGAAATAGCCTTGCCCTAGCCAGTTTGGCTGGGTGGATAGAGTGTTGGCCTGAAGACTGAAGGGTCCCAGGTTCGATTCCGGTCATGGGCATGTGCCCGGGTTGTGGGCTCGATCCCCAGTGGGGGGTGTGCAGGAGGCAGCTGATCAATGATTCTCTCTCATCATTGATGTTTCTATCTCTCTCTCCCTCTTCCTTCCTCTCTGAAATTAATAATATATATAAACAGCCTTTAACATTGTCCTGCACTAGAGATTGAGAGGTATAGAGGATCTACCTAAAACATAGTCACAAACCCAAACAGACAACCAAAATGAGGAAACAAAGGAACAACCCCCAAATGAAAGAACTAGTGAATTCTCCAGAAGAGATAAATGAAGCAAAGATAAGAAATTTATCTGAAACAGAGTTCACAGTATTGACTGTAGAAATGCTCAACAGCATGAAAAAAGATATAGTAACTATGAAAAAAGAACAGTTTGAGATAAAAGAATGACATAGCACAAATAAAGAATACATTGGAAAGAATACATACCAGATTAGGGGAAGCTGAGGAGCAAATCAGTGAATTAGAAGACAGTTGAAAATATCAGTCAATCAGAGAACAAAAAGAAGAAAAAAGTAAAAAATAGGAGGACAGTTTAATGGAACTGTGGGACAGTGTGAAACATAACAATATTAGAATAGTAGGTGTGCCAGAAGAGGCAGAAAGGGAGAAAGGAATAGAGAAGGTGTTTGAAGAAATAATGGCAGAAAAATTCCTTAACCTGGTAAAGGAAAAAGTCACACAAGTTCAGGAGGCACAGACAAGCCCAAACAAGAAGAACCCAAACAGACCCATGCCCAGACACATCATAATTAAAATGCCAAAAATTAAAGACAAAGAGAGAATCTTAAAGGCAGCAAGAAAAAAAAATCCTGTTACCTACAAAGGCGTTCCCATAAGGCTGACACCTGATTTCTCATCAGAAACTCTACAGGCCAGAAGGCATGAAGTACTCAAGGTAATGAAAAGCAAGGATCTGAGACCAAGATTACTATATCCAGCAAGGCTATCATTCAAAATAGATAGTCAAATAAAGAGCTTCCCAGATAAAAAAAAAAAAAAAAAGGCTAAAGGAGTTCATCACCACCAAGCCAGCATTACAAGAAATGCTAAAGGGATTTTTGTAAGGGATTGCTGAGAAGAAACAGAGAGAGAAACCTAGCCATACAGAATTGAGATGACTATAAATAAGTACCTCTCAATAATAACCCTAAATGTAGATGCATTAAATGCTCCAATCAAAAGGTGTAGGGTAGCTGAATGGATACAAAAACATGACCCAACTATATGTTGTCTACAAGAGACCCACCTCAAAACAAAAGTCACACACAGGATGAAAGTGAAGGGAAAGAAAAAAATTTTCCATGCAAATGGAAAAAGAAATAAAAAGCTGGAATAGCAATACTATATCCAACAAAATAGACTTTAAAAGCATCATGCCAAGCAAAATAACCCAGTTGGAGAAAGATAAATATCATATGATCTCACTCATTAGTGGAATATAATGAAAAACAAACTGATGAACAAAAATAGAGCCAGAGGGGGGAAAATATACTAGAATATAATAGAAGTAATCCTGTTACTTGCAGATTTTTAATATTTCCTACTTTTGTGGTATTAAACTATGTTAGTACAGTTTTGGTAATATTATTATACTTAAATCCTTTTATTCTTGAAATATTAATGTTTATTGCATGTAATATTATTATATGTAAGATCATTTTTCTGGAATAATTGGTGTTTATTGCATGTAACATTGTCATATTTAAAATCGTTTTTCTTGAGAAAAAAAGACTATATTTCAAATTAGAATTATCAGGGTTAGAGTTGATTGGATTCATTTTATGGGATTCATGAGCTCCAGGTCTGATTGGTTCAATTCCACTTATTATGGGATTTTCTCTTTCCAAAAATTATACTATATCACTACTGATTCTATAATTTAATAAAGCAAATATTTTCATTTAAAAAAATATGTCAACAATCTGCTATTTCAACATGAACATTCTATGTAAAATGCTTAATTTGAAAATATTGTCTTCCCAACTGTAACCTATGCTCTCAAAAGTCATTATTTTATTATCTTCTTTGAAACCTCTGAGTATACATTAACACACTTGTTATGTGAAGTAAAGGGATGTGATCTTGGCATGAATGTCAGGATTTTATTTTATTTTATTAATTTTTTAAAATATATTTTATTGATTTTTTACAGAGAGGAAGGGAGAGGGATAGAGAGTTAGAAACATCGATGAGAGAGAAACATCAATCAGCTGCCTCTTGCACACCCCCTACTGGGGATGTGCCCACAACCAAAGTACATGCCCTTGACTGGAATCAAACCTGGGACCTTTCAGTCTGTAGGCCGATGCTCTATCCACTGAGCCAAACCAGTTAAGGCCAGAAATCAGGATTTAAAAAAGATTCCCAGGTGATTCTAATGTGCAGCCAAGGTTG